AATTTCTCAACAAACAAAAAGAAAAAGAAAATAAAGTCAACATTTAAATTAGAATTAAGATAGCGTATAACAAAAGAAAAATAATAATGAATTATAATATTTTTGAAGATAAAGTGAAAAAGATAGTACATAGAGAACGATGTGTGTATTCTTATCCAACATAAATATTTAAAAACAAGTAAGTTTAAACTTTGTATTCTATTTATATATTAATAATACAAATTGGTGATAGATACAAAAAATATGTAATATTAATTTAAACGAGACCTTCTATTCCCAGAGCTCCCAAATCCTATATTCATGCAATTGGAAATTGATATTACAAGCGCATGATATACTTTTTCAAATTAAATAAACTGTAGGAAATGTGACAGAATTAACCCATTATTTCACATTTCCTAATTTGGAATAGAATTTCAGATATGTACAACACGCCGTTCTCTATAATTATTAACTTACAGAATCATTTTACATATATATTTTGTTTTATTTCTTGGGTTAATTCTGTAAGTATATATACATAATTAATGTACATCTGTTTCACTATTAAATAGAAAAGATTTAATAATGCATTAATTGAAGTAATATCGACGTTAAATTTTTGTCTCTTTATTTAAATACCGTATAAGCATACAATATTTTGATCACTATGAATTGTTTTTCAGTAAACACAAGAAAAAACGTGGTCCCCGGAAAAATCAGTAAGTAAAATTTTATTCATATTATGTATAATACTAATAAAAATGAGAGATGTGCTATTTCAATCATTTTTTTTATAATATAAATAATATAATGTCAATATTACTAAGTATTACATTTTTATTAATTATATTATATTATATTCTTTCAGATTACCAGTTACAAAAATTTCGATTACACGTGGTCCCAAATCAAACACATATTATGAAGCTACAGAATCAGGGTTAATACAAACATCTCCAGGATCTATGGCAGAGGATACATCAACAAGTCCTTCACAGGATATAGATACTCGTCTTAAAACTTTGCAGATACAATCAAGACCGTGAGTAAATTATTTCTATGTTCTTTTTTAAATACGATATTAAATACAATATATTTGTAATTGTTTTTTTATTTATGTAAAAGGAGGCGAAATCAAGAGCATTCCGAACCAAGAGAATTACGAAGAACGTCGAGAAATTCAGGCCGATATATCGAGGGTCAATATATGGTAAGTACAGTACATGTTTAGGATGATATATGTATATTGCAATCTTATTTAGTATTTTATATTTACTTATATTAATATAACAAAGATTCCATAAGAAGATATATTTACACGGTATAGACTCTGGTAATTGTTAAAAATTATGTTTTCTATTTAGATGAGTTTCAATTTATTAGTTGATTTCCAAAAATAATTATATAAATTAATATTTATTTAATATGAAACTGTTTGATTATTTTTAGTATATTTTTTTATATAATTTTATTAATTAAAAATAATCCAGATATTTAATTACATGTTATTTGTTTTATATAGGAATCTGATTCAGAATAAACGGATAAATTGAAAAGTACACATCATATACAAATTCGAAACCATATACATGTGTACGTATGAGTATGCACGAAGCATGCTATACACGGGGACCCCATTTAAAATCAAGCAATTAAAAAAATATGCGGTTTTTTAAAAAGAAATCGTTAATAATTTTTGTTATACGATTTTTAAATAATGACTGACTTTTCTATAATATAAATTTCGTTCATAGGGCATTATTATATATATATCATGTTATATTTTACAAATATTTGATAAGAAAACTTAAAATTTATCCTTGTTATCGCCAAAGTATTAATGATTTGTCTAAATAAAAGATTTTTTCTCAATATATATATATATATAAAATTATTATTTTACTTATATTATATTAATCTATTCACATATTTTGTACATTATTGTAAAGAAAAAAAAGGAAAAAAAAAGAAAATACAAAATATAAAGAAATGTGTATACACATTTGTGTCTCACTTAATTATTATTATTATTTTTAATCCATATTTGAACGTTGCTTTCGAAAAATTTTACTTAATCTTCGAGCTCTAGGTGTATTTGAAGCATTCTGTCAAATATTTGGTTAATATTATATATCTTAATAATTGTAATAATGTGAATATAAATATTAATTATATATAATTGTAATTTAATTAATTATATATCACATTCCTTACCTCATCTTGGCGTCTTAAATTGCACAATAATCCTCTAGTTCGTCGCGGCGTTGCTGTGGTCCTTCTATCAACATTTCGTTCCTTCAATATTCTTGAATTTGGGCTTTTCAATTCATTACCCTAAATAGTTCACATAAATTAAAAACAATAATTATTTGTTATAATTAAAACATCACAAGGATAATTTTAATTATTTATAATTAAAAAAAGATTGACTACTTAAACTCTTTCAATAAAAACATGATTACACACGAATTTTGCTTACATGTAAAGATAATCTACCTCCATTTTTGCTAGGTGTTGGAGGACCTGGTTTTTTATAGGACGGCTACAATACGAGAATTAGGCAATTACACAGAACAAAACAAAATACGCTAATTGATAGGCATACATAAATAAAAAAATATGCTTACTTGCGTTCTATCTCTTTTTTTCGTTTTTTGTTCAGGAAGGAGAATTTGACTTAGACTATCATTAAAAACATCATCAGAAACTGAACCTGTCTAAAAAAAAAAAAAAAATAACAATACAGCAATATTTACAACAAAGGAAACGTTTTAAATACTTAAAAATAATATATATACAAGGTATCCTGTAACTGGTGATACAATCGAGCGATTAAATCATAAATGAAGAATAAAATTTGTTCACATAAGGCTTTGCTCCTAAAAAATATAAGTTCGAAAATTTATCAAGTACACGTGCAGTTACCGGATACACTTTATACATTTTATTTATAAAACTTACTTTTATTTCTTCTTCGGTAAAATATAATGGTTGAAATTGTGTTTCGGCTGGATAAGATGATTTCAAGTGTGGTTTGCAAAGGGAATTTCTCATTTGTAATGCAGATAAACGATCAAAATCTACTACAGGCAAGCCACGACCTTCTTTCATATCCGCTGTATTAAATTAATATATGGATTATTCTAATATATATATAAACTAATTCTATCTTATCTGTTCATGTGTATGTGTATGTGTGTGTGTGTGTTTTTGCAGTTTAGCAACATCATAACAGTTTCTGAATAAGTTTCTTTTGTACCTAAATAAATATTATCAAAAACTTCTCCTTCTTCATCCTCCGCTTTAAAGGCATTGACTATAGCATGCATATTTTTGGCACTATGTTGTTTCTCATTTATATTTTCCTCTGTCAATGTTTTCATAAATGTACGTGAATTTTCGTGCATATTATTATCCAAAGGAATTTCTTCTTTTTCTAATCTAAACAAAATAAAAAAAGTCAATATCAAAACATTATTCCTTCTTCTTCTTCCTTTTTTTATTAGGACTTTGTCCTGTTATAATAGCTTTTTTTTTTATTGCTATTTCTAGGGGCGATTTATTGTTTTTACGAAGGTTGGTTGCTAGCCTCATACCTAAAATATTATTCCTTTTTTTTTTAAACTTACTTAATAGTTCTATGTTGCATAGAAAAATTCGTAGTTTTTTGTTCCATTTGATTACATAGCTTAATCCTAAAATCATTCAATTGCTGTAAAGCATCTTGTTTTTCTTGTTGCGCAGTTAATAGTTTTTCTCCGACATTCCAAAACTGTGAATTTAATTCATTGATATGGGTATTATATTTATCTATTTCCTCTTTATGCTTCTGACACTGTTGCTCCAATTTTAATTGTAACTGTTCTACTTTAAGCTCTATAGTTTTTTCTTGTTCTTTTTTCAATTTCATCATTTGCTCATTATAAGCTATTTTCTGAGGATACAAATAAAATATTTATAAATATATAATATTAATCAAATAATAATTATTTTAATAAGCGAATTTAACTTACCATTTGTTGTTTCATTTCTTCTAATTTCATTTCATATTTACTATGAATTTCTTTTAATTGAGTTTCAGATATTTTATTTTTAGCCTGCTCTTGTAATTCTTTATGTAATTTATCTCTTTCTTCTTGTAACAATAAAGTGTCTTGTTTCAACTGTGTCACTTGCTTCTTCAGATCATTTAAATCAATTGATTGAGATTTAAGATGTGTTACTTCTTTATTCTTTTTATTTTCGGTTCTAACTTCTTCCAATGTTCTTTCTAATTTTGCATTCCTTACTCTCATTATATCTAATTTATTCTTCATTTCTTTTTTCTCTTTCACTAACTGATCGATCTGTACTTGCAGTTTTTTATCGTTAACAGTTTGTTTAACTTGCCCAGCTACACAATTTTTCTTATATGAACTAATTGATTGTCTAAAAGCTTCTATCTCTTTTTCAGATTTAGTAATATCATTGCACATATTACTGATGTTTTCTAATTCTCCTTTGATTATTTCTTCCTCTTTGACATCATTTTCTTCTATATTACATTCAATAGTGGAACTTTCTTTATTACCATTTAAATACTGCAAATAAGTGTTCATTAATTTCTGCTCCATGTTAGAAAATTTCTTCCACATAAAATCGGTTATGGATTTAATATTTTGAAAATAATTAATATCATATTCATTCAACATTTTTTGAAGAATGTTTTTCTTAGTTTGCAAATGTTCTATATCTTTACATTTAAGATCTTTAGTGATAGTAGATAAATTATTAAATTCATTTAATACTTGATCCCATTTTTTTTTCAATGAAATGAAAGAGTCATTCGAATTTTCCAATGACAAAATAAATTTAGATAAAATCTCTTGTATTTTTTCCTTTTCTTTAATAATATTTTGAATATAACTCTTATGATTTTGTTCTGATATTTCAAAATCATTTACCTTTTGTCTCAATATTATATTTTCATTTTGAACTTCTACGTTATCAAATATAATTTTCTTTTGATCATCAATGATTTTTTCTAAATTCGTGTTTTTTACAGATAAATGTAATATATCTTCTTTAATTGCTTTCACATCATTAATAGCAAAGATAATTATCTCTGATATAACGTTGAATTCATTGTTATCATTTGTCTGTGATTCATCTGATATATTTTTAACAGTACTGTCATGTGCATGCGTAGAATTTAAAAGTTGTGAAAACATACACTTTAATTTTTTTATATAATCTTTTAATTCTTTACACGTTTCTACGATTTCTTTATTTTTTTTATTTACAGTATCATGACATTCTTTAAATACATTAAGCTCATCCATTTTTATTTTTAAAGACTCTTGCATTTCACTAATATTATTCTCTAAATCAGAAATTATAATATCTTTGTTAGCAAGTTTACATTCTAAATTACTTCTTAACGACTTTTCTCTTTCAAACTGTGAACAAAGTTTTTTTTTCGCCAGATTAAACTGAGTTTGCAAGTGATTTATTTGTAAGGATTTTTCTTTTAACGCTTTTTCGTGCCTCATTAACGCATTATCATGAACAGATTTTGCATTTTGGATAGTTCTAGTAATTTCTTTCAATATCATTTCTGATGCAATTGTTTCTTTAGACAATTTATCTATTTGCGATCGTAATATCAATATTGTTTCGTCTTTTAATTTGATATCCATGTTTAATTGCTCTAATAAATGTTGTTTATCTAATAATTGCGTTTCTAATTGTATGACAGACTCTTTTGTCTTATTATCACTTTCTTTTTGTATGTGGATCAAACGATCTTTTTCCAAATTTAAATTTTTTATATTTAAATGTAAAGAACTTATTTCATTGTCCTTGGATTCAATCGATTTTAAAATATTGTTATGTTCTGTTACAAGAGATTCTGCTTTGACCAATGCAGCCCTCAAGTCAGAAGATTTTATAGTTTCATCATGCAATGATTTATTCAAATTATCTATTTTTTCATTTAATACTTTCTCATTTTCTTCGCTTTGCAATAGAAGTTCGTCTTTACGAGCTAATAAATCTTCTAAACTCTTATTTATTATTATATTATTTTCCTCTAGAGATACAATTTTTTCTTGAGCATCATTTAATTTTAATTTTAGATCATTTAACATTTTCACTTCATTTTGCAATATTGTCATTAAATGCGTTGAATCTTCATGTTCTTTTAGAGTGATTTCTAACTTTTCCTTTAACTGATTAAGTTGTGTTTTTAATAAAGTATTTTCATTTCTTGCTTCTTGAAGTTGGACGTCAATAACTGAACTTAAAGTTTCACTTGTATTCATAGGTACCAACAAAGAATTTTCTAATATAGCCCCATCAACTTCAAAGCTGTCTTCTATCAATGTTCCATTTAATTTTCTTAAATGTGCACGTAAATCTTCATTAATTATTTTAAGATCTACTATTTCTCTTTCCTTAGACTCCATTTCTACTGTTAATATTTCTATAGATTTTTCTAAACCATTGCACTTTTCGTTAAGACTTACATTTTTTTTCTCTAAAAATGTTAATTTTTCTGTAACAGTTGTTTTATGATCTTCCAATTTAATAACATTATCTTGAGATTGGATTAACTGATTTTCTAATTTATGTATTTCTCGTTTGTAATAATCTTCATTGCGAAATGTATTCTTTCCTTTTTTACAAGATCTTGGAGTTGCTAGTTTATTTTTTTCTTCTTTTAATTTTTTTATTTCTAATGATTTTTCTTCTAGTAATTTTATTAAACGTTGCACTTGGTTTTTCTCTATTTTTAAATCCTCTTGAAGATCTGCTTTTTCAAACCTCTCCACTTCTAATTCGGATTTTAAAAGTCTTAACTCACGATTTCTTTCATTTAAAATTCTACTGCTTTGGGCAGAACGTACTACCGGAGAACCAAAAAATTCCTTAAGAGAACGTGTATTTGGTGTTTTAAATATATTTTTATTTTCAATTTCAATTAACTCCATTATAGCGTCTCTTAATACTTCAAAAGAAATAGACTTTCCGTAAGGTAATACCATTTCAAGAAAAGATTTAATTTTAATTTGTGTTTCATGTTGTAATTTAGTACACATCGGTAAATGAAAAGTAGAATTCTGACTCGCATAAGATAGTACTAATGACATGATATATAAGTCTTCAGGATATTTTTCAACTTGATCCTTATTAATTTGAAATTCAGGATATTCATCTAAGGGAAAAATAATTTTGTTATAGAATGTGCTGGTAAAATATTGCAAATAAAAACTGAGGCACCCTGTATATATTATATACATATAAACAATATTTATATATACACTTACCTTTAATAAATGCAGTAAGAATATCTTTATCCTTAGAACTGCTTATATCTTTTCTCAAAGTCCTATAAAAAATAATCATTAAAATTAGTTTACGAATAGGAAAGGATTTTATATTTGAAAATCTCATTTAATTAGTTCTCAATTACTTTAAATTATTAAGTAAAATATATATAAAATAAACATATAAAATCGTTAATCATACTTACAATGATTCAATTAACTGTCCATACAACTGTTTCTCTTTTAATTCTTCTATATCTTTAATTGGTGTTTCCAGAACATTTAAACAATTAATCTGAAATACGTTATACAAAAATGTTAATTAAGAACCACAATGAATATAATTAAAGAAAATCATATTAAAACGTCACAATGTTTTCAATTATTAAATTTATTGAAAGTATAAACATAGTTATTCATAATAATCACAATAAACATGAATATAAAATGCAAATTATATTTGATCAAATTTTAATTAATTTATGAATATTTTAAGGTAATTTCGTACCCACTCAATAATTATTTGTAACCAATCCATAATTCAATATATGAATATACAAACTCATTCAATTAAATTTCAAAAACCGTTTTGTTTGCTTTGACACCCTATCGTTCTGTTCAAGATCCGTTTAATTTCAAAAATCTTACTTGAATTCTACCTTACCGGAAGTAAACGATCATTGGTTTAGTTTTTCAGGAAGTAATCAAAAGGAATATATAATTTAATTTAGGAATTTTTACTTTTTCAAATTCCATTTAAAAATAAATTTTAAAAATGCCTACTTTTCATATATTATAAATATACCAGAGACTAAGATTTAATATTAATACTTAATAGCAAATATCATTCTTTGAATAATTTTTACTACATAAAACGATATTTAATTTATAAATTGTCAACTACTATCAATTTGTAAAAAACAAAGAAAAGAACATACTAATTGTTTTTACCTCTAGTGGATTATCAGATATTTTTATAGTAGTACTTCATAATATAGTTATTTTCGATAGTGAAATATAAGATTGGCAGAACTGGCATCTGAAAAATTTGAATTTCAAAGCTTAGCTTGTTTTCTTAACGGTTTACTTAGAAATCGTTGAATCGTTGAATCGTTAGAATCGAACACAACATATTTAAATATTTTTAGTGCAATTAAATGAAAAATTCGGAAAGAAGTGTTAAAGAAAAAAAGAAAGAAAAACTTTTTAAAAGTGTTAATAAAAATTGAATAAGAGAGACAAACGTAAGAAATGGTACAGTTACACTGTTAATGAAGATTATTGCTTTCTTTGCGGGTCATATTGTTAAGAAAATAAAAAAGAAAGAAATAGAAAGAAAGGAGAAGAAGAAGAAGAAAAAGAAGAAGAAGAAGAAGGAGAAGAAGAAGAAGAAGAAGAAGGAGAAGAAGTGTTAGATTATTTAGAACTTTTGTCGAATTTACATCATAATGGTATATAATAAGAAAGATCAGGCAAAGGCATTATCGCCTAATAAGGTGAGAAAATTTGTAAAAAAACGATTATCTGGGAACTTGTTAAAAACAAGTGCAAATGGAAACGGCGCAGCATCATCATCAACATTAACATCAACATCATCATTATCATTGGTAAACAAGAATAAATCAGAAACAAATATAAAAGTAATAGTACGAGTTCGACCTCCAAATGTTAATGAATTGCAACTTAATTCTAAGACAATCGTCAATATACTTGATGATAAAATTTTAATATTTGACCCTAAGGAAAAAGAAAATCCTTTTTATTATCAAGGTGTTGTACAGAAAGGTCGTGATTTATTGAAAAAACAAAACAAAGAATTACAATTTATGTTTGATAGAATTTTTGGTGACACTTCTACAAATAATGACATATTTGAAGGGACTACGAAAGAATTAATTTTAAGTCTTTTAAATGGTTATAATTGCTCTGTATTTGCATATGGTGCAACGGGTGCTGGAAAGACTCATACTATGTTAGGTAGTGCTAATGATCCTGGGTTAACTTATCGCACTGTAGCAGAATTGTTCTCTCAAATAGAAAACCAAAGTAGGCATAATGAATTTAATTTAGGTGTATCTTATTTAGAAATTTATAATGAAAATGTTCAAGATTTATTACATAAGTCTACACAATTGCATTTAAGAGAAGACARTAGAAACGCAGTTATCGTTGCAGGACTTAAAATTATTCCTATACAGAACGCAGAAGAATTGTTATTTTTATTAGCCAAAGGCAATAAAAATCGTACTCAACATCCTACAGATGCAAATCAAGAGAGTAGCCGAAGTCATGCAGTTTTTCAAGTTTATATTCAAATTAATAATAGATTGAATGGACAGACTAGACACGTTAAATTGTCTATGATCGATTTAGCTGGATCCGAAAGAGCATCAGTCACTGGATGTAAAGGCGCTCGATTTAAAGAAGGTGCTAACATAAATAAGTCCTTATTGGCACTTGGAAATTGTATCAATAATTTAGCAGATGGTGTTAAACATATACCTTATAGAGATTCTAAACTAACTCGTCTCTTGAMGGATTCTCTTGGTGGTAATTGTCAAACTGTTATGATTGCTAATATATCACCTTCTAATTTGAATTACGAAGATACATATAACACTCTCAGATAYGCGAATAGAGCTAAGAAAATAAAAACATGTGTTAAGAAGAATATTGTATCTTGCAAAATGTATATATCTGGATATATTAAAATAGTAGAAGAACAAAAGAAAGAAATTAATTTCTTAAAGCAACAATTAGCAGMTTATGAAAGTGGATTAGTACAAGTACAACCTGAACTTAAGGAAACCAAAGTTGTTACTGARGAAATAGATGATAGTTTACCAGAAATAAATAATAAATTATTAGAACTGTGTCAAAGGAAAAAATTATTAAGCGACAAGATGTTATCTTTGGAAAGTGCAGACAAAATTTTATGTATTAGAATGCATTACAATAAGGTTGCTAATCAAAGATTGCATAATTTAACGGCAGCTGTGGACATTTTGTCTTTTGAAGAACAGAATGCAAGTGGAAAAACAAGAATAAACAAATCTTTAGATTACTTTAAGCGACAAAGAAGTTCCTTGAAAGTGCAAATGGAAGGAGTTTGGAAAGAACTATGTGCAGTCGAGGAAGAAATRCAAAAGCTAAATGCTGAGATTTTATATAAAAATTTGCGTGATAAATTAGCAGATGTTTATTCTTCTTCAATCCAAGAAATAGACACATGTATARTGCATCAACAGTTTGAACATGTTAAGAAAATCGTTAGTTTACAACAATGTGAATTTCATTCAATGTGTAGTATACACAAACTAATAAGTTCAATATTACAAAGTTATTATAATTTGATAAATGATTATGGGTTAATGACTAAGGAAATGAAAGAAGAATWTAAACAGTTAATTAAATCGCTCGAAGGCGTTAGAAATATCAAATGGTCAGATTCAGAACTGATTGACGAAGAAAAAGATATTTACAGTTTATCTTGTTTAAGTATACCTCAGTTAAAAGATYCCCTTAATAATTTAGTGCCAGTATTTGTAGAATCAGTTATTAACGAAGAAAATCATAATGATCAAATTACTGAGGATGTTTTAAGTAAAACATTTAATTTGAACACCTGTGAAACAGAAAACACAGTTGAAGTTTTAGATACAACCATTACATTACATAAAAAAAATGGAACTAATTCAATAATAAATTCTGAACAGAATTCAATAATAAATACTGAACAGAATCCAATACAAATTATAAATAAAAATGGTACAAGTAATCATACAGCATCCTTACAGAATAAAGTAAAGAGGTCTGTACATCCGATTAATAAAATTTCTTCAAAACAATTTAAAAAAACGCATCAAAAACACAAAATTTTCAATCATGCATTTGAATCGCCTGATAAAGAGAACAAGAATACACAAAAGCAACATCCTATTATGAGTGCTAAAAGTATTGCTATTTTAAATAGCTTAAAAGAGAATAAGATTAAAACAATGTCGTGCGTCTCTATTATAAAACCATCCAAACCAATATTAGAAGATGCATCATTAAAATTAGTAAGGATGAAAGAGAGACGTGGACTTGGGTCTGCACACCCTTATCAAAAATCAAAACAGAAGTAAGTGATATTTCAGAAATATATTCCAAATTATCTATTAACGTGATTAACGGATGCACATTATGGTTTTTATTTTTATAGGTGTATATTGACTCCTACTAAAACATAATTGATAATTAATATATAAGTTTCAAAGGGAATTATAGACAGTTAATAAATCTGATGAACAATACAAATAATAGGTCAAAAAAAATAAATTTATTTGTATTGTTCATCAGATTTATTAACTGTCTATAATTCCCTTTGAAACTTATATATTAATATATTGTTTGGACTAGAATATTGATAATTAAATAATTGACAATAAACCAAAATCGTTTGTAGATATGTATATATATTTATTGTTTACTATATTGACAATGAGATTGAATACAGACATAGTTGTAATAACATGAGGAGAGAATTTTAAATTCATTGAAACTAACTTTATATTTGTAATATCAATAAAACTTTTAGATTAATTTTGCTTCGTATATTGTATTTATGTATTCTGTTACTCATTAAATGTAAGTAATAACATTTTTTATTTAATTTATAAACAAAAATTTTTTATATTCTAGTAATATACAATAATATATGATATCTTTGAAATTCTCGATATATGGAGTAAGTAATTATCATTGCTCATATCTGCAAAATTAATTAATAGCTGTTATAATTAAATTGTAGTATTACATTTGGAAATAAGACTGAAATATATTTC